ATAAAAAAAAAATTCACAAGTGTTAATTGAATTGGAACCAAATATCTAAAATATGTGAGGCTAAGTGTATAAATTCTCCTTAATTTTTTTCATGAAAATATGATCCATTGCTCAAAAAATTCAAATCACATAAAAGAATCAATTAAGATGTTAATTATCAAATTAATCAAATCTCAACAAATCCTCATCATAATGCAGTAAGTTTATACACTTGACCCCTTGGAGAGGACATGTGGATTATGAGTATTAACATACCTGAACACCTTGGCTGCTTGTTCTTGACTTTACCACATTTCATCAAATTATTAATTATGACATGTGAACTACAAGTTGCATCAGTCATGAGGCCTCAGGCTCAAGTATAATGCCAAAAATAATAAAATTGATATATATTATAATATATAAATTTATAATAAATAAAATTTTTGCAATGACAAACTGATTTTTTTAAAACTAAGTTAAATCCACATGGACCCACCTAGTTTACTTAAAATAGTGACTTTAAAATCAAATCTCTAATCTTGAGATTTCTTACGTGCCCTCTTGACACAACCACTTTGTCCATTTCATTTATACTTGCTTGATAAGTGGGGTGAGAACATGGTAGAATAATCAATTATTCAAACACTAATCATGTAAGCAAAAAGTTTGAACATAATTATTAATAAATATTAAATTTATTTTTAAAATTTAATCTTTTTTAATTTTTAACTTTTTAAGTGCATAAATAACTATGCTTCTTAAATATGACAATAGATTAGCAAAAGTATATCTTTAATCCTTTAGCTTTACACAAGGTCTCATTTTCTCACTTAATTGTATAAAATGAATTTTCAGTTTTTTTAATTCTCAAATTTACATGGTTAAAACAAATGCCAATATTGAAATTTTAAATATTGACAAAATCTTATCAAATGTTATTATATTAAATTTGATTTTTAAAATAGAAATAAATATTAGAAAAAATTATCATCTGAGATTAACAATGTCAGAATCAAAGAATTTTTTAAAATTAAAATATTTTTTATAATTAATTAGAAACCAAATAGTGGTTTTTATTTTTTATTTTTCCCCTTACAATTCTGTGTGTACAAATGACGACATGAACAGCCAATGATCTGAGAGAATGTCGATTGAAGTCACTTTTCGTTTTTTTTACCCCAAAGGGAATGCATAACTCATGCATGGCGGCCCAAAATAATACTACTAGATCTCTAATATAAGATCTAGTTAACTAATTTAGAAAGACTAAAAAAGTAGTTAAACTAGTTATTTATAATAAATAAATATTGTCTTTCTTGAAATATTTTTACTAATCATGTGTACTAGTTAAAACTATTTATGATATAATATTTAACATATGCAATTATTATAAGGATTACTTTGAAAAAATTTTGATATATATGAAAGACAAAATAAATTAGAGTCTTGTATTTAAGACCAAATTAAAAGTCAAACTGACGATTATATTAAAAACTGGAAGTAGTATTGTCTATGACTTGTAAATAAGGTACGGTTTTATAAATTTTATATTTATACTGATAATTGTTTGATATTAATGATTGGATAAAACTTTTCCATTACGTAAAATTTGGGAAATGAATTTTATTGTCCAACATTTTTAAATAATTTTTTGTTTTAAATTTTATATTATATGAGCTGAGCTCAAGTACAATATATGAGAAATAAATCATACTTTTTAAGATTATAAGAACCTAGTCAAAACGGCCATTTTTTGTTTTAAATTGTAGTGACCATTTTTGTATTGATTTCTTTTTAAGTAATACTTTTTTTAATTTAATTGTAAGTTCCCTCTTAAAAGTGCTTATTGACCAACCCTATCAACATTTCATTCTTCCTTCCTTCCTTTTGCTTTGATCGTTTCTTTTGTTTTGTTGATTCCTTAAACTTATTTCTTTATATGTGGATATATTTTTCATTTAGGTTCTCCCAACTATTGATCTATAATTTTCTTTTCAAACAACATTTTAATTTTGTTGTAATTTGTCTCTCAAAAGTTCTTAATTATCAACCCACGAACTTGTATACTTTTACAAAGTTAAGCCCTACTTCCAAAAAAAAAAAATATATTAATTTGATTATAAATAGAGCTGGTAATATGTAGGTTTACCTGCCAACCTCCCATAAGGTGGTGGATTGGGTTGAAAAAATAGAGACTATTTTGATACGATTTTTTTAGCCTGTACCCACCAACCTCCAATCCATCACAGGCTAGCCCGCAAGCCCTTTTTTAATTAATTTTTCTTGCAAGTTTATTTTTATTTTAATAAGAAAAAGTTTTATAATTTTCATTTAATTTACATATAGCTTTTTATTTTATTAGAGACTTTGATTCTAAATTTGATTTCTTTTTTTTTATTGTTTTACCGTCTTTATACTAATAAAATAACTATTAACAATAAATTATATGTTTATATTTCAACTTTTGAAAATAATTTAATTATATAATTATATGAAAATCTAAGAATAAGAGGAATTTGGTTTATAAAAATTTATACTTTAATTTAAAAAATTTTAAATATATGTGTAAAAAAATTTCTTTTAAAAAAATGGAGGTTGGAGGGCTCCCTTAACAGGGTGGGTTGGCCAAATGTAAACTCGTTAGGAGGTGGTGCTTCTAGAATTGGCTCTCATAATCTTGAGCCCGAGGCGGGGTAGCTTGTAACTGATGGATCAACCCATTTTATCACCCCTAATTATAGATAATTTGATCATGATCTCACCGTCAGTCTAATCATGGAATTGTAAACCCATGCCTTAATCATTTTAATGGTTAATCCATATTCCAAAATATTACTTTTTATATTGTCTTGGGAAAAACAATTTACTAAAGATGGTAACATTAATATTGACATTGATGAACATCTTTTAATTTTCTTTCTTCATTTCTTCTCTGTTTTTCCTTTATTTATTTTTAGCCAAAAGATGTGGTTGGATTTGAAAGAAGCGCTTCTCCACCTTGGGGACTAGAGACATGCATATCAAAGGCCTTTATTTTCCAGTGGGCCTCAGATTCTCTTTTGCTTTCCTCTCATTAACCAAGTAAGGAAAAGCATATCTACTTGATAATAAAGCCATTTTCAACATTTATTGCATGAGTAAGATTTTTCATCGTCAATCAGAATTGTTCAATTAATGAACTTGAAATTATTGGTTGAGACAGAGATATTTTTTTATTTATTAAATGACATTTAGGTCTGTAATATTTCAAGTAGGGCGGCGTGGGGAAATTTATTACTCCCTCCGTTCCTTATTATAAGAGACAAATAACCAAATTACGTTGATAAAAAAACAGTTAAAATTAGTTGAGGACAATTAATACGTAAAAAGTATAATGTTTTTTTCAATAATGCCCCCATTAATAAGGAGAGAGTATGAGAGAGAACAATTAAATTATTAAAAGAAAGAGAAGTGGGAGGAAAAGAGAGTATGAGTTGGAGACAAAATAAATAAGGGTAAAATAGGAAATCAATACAAAAAAATAGAGACAACTTTTGAGTGTCTCTTATATATGAGAACATGTCATAAGCATCAAATGTTTCTTATAATAAAGAACGGAAGAAGTACTTGACATCCTAGTTCTTATGTCTCCTTTGTTTTTAAGGAGATTTTTATCAAAACTTGCTTCCACGTGGAATTGACTGGAATCACAATGAGAACTAATTTCTGTGTTCACGGAAGGATGACCACAAATGAGGGCAGAATTTTCTCCTGGAAAATGTGACAAAGTGAGAGTGAATTGACAAGAATGAAAGTTGAAAGTTTCAAGACGGTGAGATCCCTTTCAATTCCCACATCACAATAACTTTATTCCATTATTTTAAATTTTGAATCCCTTTGTTTTTTAAAATTTTTTAAAAAAACAATGGGATTAAAATAATTCAATAACTTATTAACTAGTTATATATGGGCATATCGGAATGGGCTAACCCACTAACAGGAGACCAATATCTAAATTCCAACAAATTAATTTTAAATTCAGAATTGGACCTAAGGTAATGAAAATGAAAATTAGATCACCACCAACAATCCCATCCCAAAAGGGAAAAAACTGCTGAGTTGATTTAAGGTAAATTTTAACTCACCCAAAAACCAATAAGCTGAATAACGGATTTTAAAAAAGTACAAATCTGAATTATAAACCTAAAACAAATTTTGATTGAGTTGCCCTTTCTTATTGACCTGATAGTCTAATAATTTCCATTAGTTGAATGATTGGTTTAATTTAATAACATTGGTTTACTACCAAACACATGTTTCAGCTCACAAAAGATTGTACCAATTTAACCAGAGCTCTCGTTTGAGTTCTGAAAATACAACAATGCTAAATACTTGGTGACAAAGTTTTGTCACCATTTATAGTCTTGCTTGGCTTGGTTCAGTCTAAGATAATATATTATGAACTCTTGATAAATCCTTTAGTTAAAGTGAGAGGTAAGTCTCAATCCATATTAATCTGCAACCTTGATAAATCCTTTAATTAAAAGTGAGAGCCAATAAAAAAAACAAATAAACAAATAAATAATAATAAAATCAAAATAGCATTGGTTTTCAAAGCAATTCTGGCTAATGAACAAGATGGAAACAATGGAAGGCCCCAGTAGCCCAAAAATTCTTAAACCCACATATTGAGGTCCTGTCCTTTTTAAAAGGTGCAGTGTGTAAACAAAACGAAGAGTATTTAGCAACAAAATGACTAGCAAAACATATAATGCAATTTGCAACAACAATCCTCATCTCATTAAACAGGATCGGCTATATAGATCATATAACACCATTACGCTCTATTCACAGCCAGCTCTTCTTGCGTATCATTCACCAACAGATCGTGATTACATAGGATTTGGGGTTTTATGTGATCGCAAGTCTTTTTTTTTTTTCCCGGGGAAAAAGAAGAAAGGAATGCTGGCTCTCAGTGCTGTGACCAATTTTGGGAAAACATGGCATGTAACTGCACAGAATACATCAGAATATAGAAAGAAATTCACTCTACATCACCATGACTACCGATCAATGATGGGGGTTAGAACTTAGTAACCCTTCATGCAAGTCAGCACTATTCCTCGCTTGAATCGTATGAGGCTTAATCGGTACGGAGCTCGTCATAGCAAGGGTGGAACTTCCCAATTATGAGGTAGGGGGTTATAACCATGCAAGCCATAAATAACGTGAACTGCAGAACATAAAAATCAGCAAGTTGTAATCCCAACATTACCATTTGGAAGCAAAGAAAACCAAGTAGGAGATAAAGGTAAAACACAGACACAAAAAGTAAGACGAATCTGTTTATAAATATAACTACCAGAAGAGGAAGTGTCAGGAAGCTCCATATTGGCCACAATGCAAAGGTGAATCTGTAAGGAGGAAGAATAACGTGTCAGCAAAATGGAGTTGTATTTAGACATACCATACATTGAAAATGAAAAAGAGAAGAGATTACAGTTTCTTACGAGCAAAAAGAGACGAGTCCAAATGCAGTAACGAATGGTAAAGCAGCGACACTTGTTACTTCCCATTTTTTTAGTCCCCATTTTTCATCAAATCTCTTAACACTCCATGCCAAGATGCTTGTATATATGAAAACCAGTGCATTTAGTCCAATACCTATCATTCCAAGATACATAGGCAGTCTGCAATAAAATTCAGGAGATTTCAAATACTGTGACAGTGATTAAGTAACTCAAGAATTACATTCAGTTAGAATCAGCATCAACTAAGACTACAGCAAATGCCCTAGCTGTTTCAAATTTAGAGGTCCTGAAAAAGGTATAATCATATGTCAACTATAATCATCTTACGAATCATCAAACACGCTTTGTTTTCTATAGCTAGAGAGAGATAGATTGAGTGAAAAATTCATTTACAAAGCGTGAAATTTTCTGTCCAACTAAAACAAGTAGGTATATTTTAAAAATAGGCTCTTTTTTGTGTTAGTTGTTAGTACAGTTTCCTGTAATTAACAGAGTTTGGTTTCTGACACGAAATCTGCCTTCCAATGACTTCTTGATTCTTGAACTTGTGGGAAGCACATGCAAGTCATAATCTTAGTCAATGAGACAAGGCAAAATAAAATTAGAACCCAGAACATGCTGTAGATATAATGGGATTCCCGGCTAAATCTTATTAATACCAACAACTAATAGGTACAGTCGATACAAGACACTGTTACAAGAAACAAAGATTTCATTTAAGTCAGTAGGTAACGGATAAAATAATTGAAACAATCTAATTCTAAAGCTTTCTTAATTAATTGCCAGACAGATCTCATCCTACAAACCTCCCTCTTTCAACAGGTAAAAGGTTTAACCTACTGCACCATGCTAGATAAGGAACCTACAACCTCCCTATCATTTCCACACATTCATAACTAACCGCATAGAGCTTCAAGTGATGTTAATGAAATTGTACATGAAAGGGTGCTCAAAGATAGAAACACAGTGACCTAGATCCCTGCGCATTATGTTCATACTCTGCAAATGGTAAATGCCATTATCGTCAAGAACTTCAACAGCTAATGAACACTTTTGAAGCTGCAAGTCTTTATCAAACTCTAATCTAAGCCAATTTAGTTCACATTTTCAACATCTCTTCTTCGGCAATTTTAGTGGTAACAGTTAACCTTCACCTTACAAACTATCACATAGGCTGATGCCATATGCGAGAGAGAGAGAGAGAGAGAGAGAGAGAGAGAGAGAGAGAGAATGATTAAATGGGTTATTCTTTCTGTTACTTTTCTAACTACTACTTATTTCTGTTACTAACCCAATGCAACGTATCAGAGACCAACTTTTGTAAAACAATAATGCACAAGTTGTTTTCTATAGATAACAAATATTTCAATAATAAAACCAAAGTAGTAACAAGATGACGTCTTAACTCAATTTTTACTCAACTTACGGATGTTTACATTTCACACCATTATGCATGTTAATAACCGGAGGTTCCCAGATTTGCTTTGATAGACCAAACAAAAAGTTGCCATAAGACTAAAAAAATAAGAAGAAAAAATATGATGCAAAGGAAAGAATCCGTTCAGACTAAATGAGTTAACAAAAATCCAAAATTTAAAGAAATGAAAAGCTAAGAAAATCGGGGTTACCTTTTGATTCGTTCGTCATGAAACAAGAGGTAAATCAAATTGGAATCACGATCGCCGAAGTATACGATTAAAGCCGCGGAAGCAATCCAAAGAAAATTTTCCAAAATCTCGATCCACGTTCTTCTTTCTTCTTCAAAGCTTGCAGGAGAAAAAGGACGAAGTCTCGAGCATGCATCGTCTTCAAGGTCATCGCCACTGCTTGCGTACCCCTGGCTGTGTCTCTGTCTCATAAACCCTCCTCCACCAACCGGTGTACCTCCAGACATTGTAAGACAGAACCACAATCACACAATGAACATGCAGTACCAGAAGAATCACCAAAACCTAACAATACTGGCACATAATGAACTTGGAATTCCTCCACAAAAGAAGTGACTGTGGCTCCTAATTTCACACTACAAGCTAATCCCAACTAAATTCCCCCGACCGAGATTCATAATCTGCATATCAGTCAAAATCTAAATGCACATCCATTGTAGATTGAGTTCACCGTTGAACACACGAATTTGTCAACTAGAACAAGCGAAGACCCGCTTCGAGAAAACTGCCAGAAAACCCATTTTGAACTCCCGGAAGCTGAATAACCGAAAATTAAGCATAAGAAAAGACTCTGATTTGAGTTTGTAGCGGACAGCAACCCAGAAATTTCCTTTGGTTTCTCGGATTCAATTAATCGACGAGACCCAGTGGCTTGGTGTGCATGCAAAATGATATGATTCCAGAAAGAGTAGAAAGATGACAAGGTATCGAATTTACAGTGCTCTTCTAGAGAAGAGAACAACACAGCCAAAAGTTTTAATGGCGAGTCAGAAGATTGAAGAGTGAAGATTCGTTTCGTGTACGTCCTTCGAAATGCAGGGGGATTCCGAAGCTTCGAACCTTCCTTAAATTCGGCTCCATTTTTGTTTTCCTGTTCCTTTTTTTTTTTGAATGAATTGTTTTCTTTTTTCATATAAACATTTCTTTTCAAATTATTCTTAATCTTTAAAAGGAAAATTTTAAAAAATCACTCCTAAAATGTAATTATTACAGCTTTTGATGTTAAGTAGAGAATTTAATTAATAAGCTTGTTTTTACCCGAAATATCAGACTCTTATTTTCTAAATATATGGTTTTTTTCTTAAATTATTCTTATTAATTGTATATATTAAAATATTTTCATATAAAATAATTGTTATTGCAACTAATTAAATGGTGTATAAACGCATTTTTTAATAAATTATGAACTCGATTTTATTCATTCTTGTAAATTAAATTATCTATTTCTTGTATTAGTTTAGTTTGAAACGGTTATGCATATTAAATTTCAAGGTAATTAAACATTTTGAAGTTTTGAATTTATAATCTATTTCCTTTTTGCCATTAATGTAAATCCCTACAAGCTAAAAAGTTCAAAATCAAAATAATATTTAACTGTGTTTCTTAAATATCTAACTAGGAATTTAATCCCTAACGGTGTATTTGAAGAGGGACTCGTTGCCAGCACTAAAATCCTTAATGGATATACATTATGAAAGAGTTAATCATTAGTGGATATTTTGGATTCAACAAAAAAAAAAGAGTCCAAAACCCGTAAGAATATATAGGTTGGGAAAAATGGAAGGTAAATTTGAAAAGCATTATTGGATGGGAATAAAGAACATTTGAAAATTGAAAAACACATTTATAAAACTGAGTGAGATTACAGTGTTCTGCATTTTCAAAAAGAGAATAAAACTTGGGAGAATGACATTGAGGTCCCACAGAAGCCAAAATACAGCAAAAAGGTCCCCTGAAATGTCATAATTTTTCTGAAGTCCCAAAGGGACTTAGATGCAATTTTCAGAATCTGTAAATTACTCTCTTGCCCTGCCCTAAGCCATCAGAAACGAAGAAGCAGAATTTCATTTGGGTGAGAGTTCCCACGCAATATGCTTGAGAAAGAAGACATTGGGAAAGAGGGAAGGAGCCATTGATGATGAAATATCCTCTCTATTACCATTAGTGAACTCCAAAGAGCTTCCATGTGAATCTCCACAAACTTTCAGGTGTGAAACTTTCTTTCCTCTTCTCTCCTACCTTTCTTGACAGATTGTGCTTTTGTTTGGAAATGGGAAATCAAAAAATCGTTTTTGTGTTTTTGGGTTGCTTGTGGGTGGTTTTGGAAATGGGATTCAGAAGTTAATCAATAGAAAAGCTGTGTTTTCGGTTGGTGTGTGTTGTGATTTAAGTTGGGTGTGTAGAATGATAATGGGTGCTCTGTTTTTGGGTTGTTTTTGGGTGGTTTTCCTCTGTTCTGATGTTAGTTTAGTGGCAAAGGAAGAAAAAGATGAAGGTTAGTGAGGGTAGAAACCCTTAGCACGAAATGGGATTGTGTTGTCAATCAGGCCGCGATTGTTGTCAATGTGTGCCGCTACACTTGTCAATGTAGCCCCTTAAGTTGTCAATGACAGTTGCGTGCTGGTTGATGCAGGTTTAAGTTACTGATGGTATTTCAAAACTTTTGTTTTTGGTTTAGGATTCAGAAGTTAATGAATGGAAAAGCTGTGTTTTTGGTTGGTGTGTGTTGTGATTTAAGTTGGGTGTATAGAATGATAATGGGTGCTCTGTTTTTGGGTTGTTTTTGGGTGGTTTTCCTCTGTTCTGATGTTAGTTTAGTGGCAAAGGAAGAAAAAGATGAAGGTTAGTGAGGGTAGAAACCCTTAGCACGAAATGGGATTGTGTTGTCAATCAGGCCGCGATTGTTGTCAATGTGTGCCGCTACACTTGTCAATGTAGCTCCTTAAGTTGTCAATGACAGTTGCGTGCTTCTTGATGCAGGTTTAAGTTACTGATGGCGAGTACGTCTGGAAAACATCCAAAATAAGAAGGTTTATCATTGTGGAAGATGCAAAGAGCCTGGACACACTGCCAAGACATGCAAGAACCCAAATCCCACCTGAGAACATAATAAAATCAGCTAAGGGTGTGAGCCATGAGTGGCACCTAAGGGTGTGAGCCATGAGTGGCAATAGCTTAATGGTCAATAGGTCTTTTTGTAACAAACTGATCAAATTATGTTTATAATATTATTATCTTTGTTATCAGATGTTATGATACCAATTTCTTGGGGACAACTCACATTTTTATTTTTGTTGTTTTATATCTTTATTGATATCGACAAATTTACGTAATATTAATAAGTAATATAACATGAGTTAATGACAAGTGATATAACAATTTCATAACAAATGAATATGTGGATATTAACAATTGATACTCAAAATTTTTACAACTGAAAGTGTTATTTATTTATAATGTTAAGTAATATTTATATTAAAATATAATTAATCAGAAGGTGTTACTCAGAGTTATGTTCAATTAACAAGTCACTCTGCTCTATTGGCAAGTTACAGTGCTACCATTGACAAGTCACAGTGCTCCATTGGCAAGTCACAGTGCCACCATTGATAAGTCACGGTGCGACGATTGACAAGTCATCTTGCCACCAATAACAAGTCCGTGTGCCACCATTGACAAGTCATAGTGCCACCAACGACAAGTCAGTGTGCCACCATTAGCAAGTCACAGTGTCACCATTGACAAGTCACATTGCCACCAATGACAAGTCCGTGTGCCACCATTGACAAGTCATGGTGCCACCAACGACAAGTAGTGTACCACCATTGGCAAGTCACAATGCCACCATTGACAAGTCACATTGCCACCAACGACAAGTCAGTGTGCCATCATTGACACTTCATTAATAATGATTATATATGACAAATAACCAAAAATATAATATGACAGAGTGATTGAAAATATCATATGTTACTAAAACAAGTTATGTAACTTGAATTCATATTGTTGACAACTTACATCAGCAAATTAATTGACAAGTGACAGTGCTCTATTGACAAGTCATAACAGGTCTAATGACAATATAGGGTGCAGGTAATGACAACTAAAATGACAGCAGAATCTAACATGCCAATTCATAGTCAACTTTCATTTACACCTTCATATACATGAAACTACACCTATTTCACAACCCATCCTAAAAAAACACAGGGGTTGCATGTAATTACGAGAAACTAACTATTGGTGTGTATCCATTTATAAAAAATTCCCTTCACACCAATTTACAAAATATTCCCTTCACATTCATATACAAAAAATAGTTGATTTCATTATGTTCTCAGGTGGGATTTGGGTTCTTGCATGTCTTGGCAGTGTGTCCAGGCTCTTTGCATCTTCCACAATGATAAACCTTCTTATTTTGGATGTTTTCCAGATGTACTCGCCATCAGTAACTTAAACCTGCATCAAGAAGCACGCAACTGTCATTGACAACTTAAGGAGCTACATTGACAAGTGTAGTGGCACACATTGACAACAATCGCGGCCTGATTGACAACACAATCCCATTTCGTGCTAAGGGTTTTTACCCTCACTAACCTTCATCTTTTTCTTCCTTTGCCACTAAACTAACATCAGAACAGAGGAAAACCACCCAAAAACAGAGCACCCATTATCATTCTACACACCCAACTTAAATCACAACACACACCAACCAAAAACACAGCTTTTCCATTCATTAACTTCTGAATTCTAAACCAAAAACAAAAGCTTTGAAATACCATCAGTAACTTAAACCTGCATCAACCAGCACGCAACTGTCATTGACAACTTAAGGGGCTACATTGACAAGTGTAGCGGCACACATTGACAACAATCGCGGCCTGATTGACAACACAATCCCATTTCGTGCTAAGGGTTTCTACCCTCACTAACCTTCATCTTTTTCTTCCTTTGCCACTAAACTAACATCAGAACAGAGGAAAACCACCCAAAAACAACCCAAAAACAGAGCACCCATTATCATTCTACACACCCAACTTAAATCACAACACACACCAACCGAAAACACAGCTTTTCTATTGATTAACTTCTGAATCCCATTTCCAAAACCACCCACAAGCAACCCAAAAACACAAAAACGATTTTTTGATTTCCCATTTCCAAACAAAAGCACAATCTGCCAAGAAAGGTAGGAGAGAAGAGGAAAGAAAGTTTCACACCTGAAAGTTTGTGGAGATTCACATGAAAGCTCTTTGGAGTTCACTAATGGTAATAGAGAGGATATTTCATCATCAATGGCTCCTTCCTTCTTTACTAATGTCTTCTTTCTCAAGCATATTGCGTGGGAACTCTCACCTAAATGAAATTCTGCTTCTTCGTTTCTGATGGCTTAGGGCAGGGCAAGAGAGTAATTTACAGATTCTGAAAATTGCATCTAAGTCCCTTTGGGACTTCAGAAAAATTATGACATTTCAGGGGACCTTTTTGCTGTATTTTGGCTTCTGTGGGACCTCAATGTCATTCTCCCATAAAACTTTGGTAAGAGCAAAATACCTCTTTTTGGTAATTGACTTATTTAATATACAACTAAACTTTCTCCAAAGCAAATCGAATTGTTGGGTAGGCGGTACAGAATGTGGGGTTGTAGCTTTTTGCATGTCAGAGAAGCAAGGAGTTTG